TTTTCATATGTTGCAAATCTGACGGCTAATCTGCATAATCATATAGTTGCCTACGTTACTTTGTATCAATATTAAACAACACATTTAAATTAATTTCCAACTTAACGTTTGATTTCCGTGTTCTGTTGGATAACATTTCCCATGAACAGCAGAACATCTACAACTCGTATGATGCTGGAAAATGTTCGGAGAGTGGTTTTCCGCAGAACAAGTGAAAAGTGGAAATGCAAATTTAAACTCAAACGAAATGTTCGCTGGATGACTATAGTAGAAAATCCCCACTTTTCTATTCGCTGTACTAATTTTAATATGTCACAGGTATATTTACATCGCGTAATTCCACTGAAACATTATAATAGGACAATAACAATTTCAAGCTAATACGCTAGCTAGGCGAGTGTTCATAACAGTTGTTCATAACATACCACTACTTTGCACTCTAGTTTCACACTTTTCACCACGATTCCACAACTTTGCACCTTATATCCGCATTTTGCACCACTTTTTCATTAATTTACACTCTAGTTTCACCTTTTTCACCACTTTTCTACAACTTTGCACATTATATTCGCATTGTACCAATTTACCACTACATGCACGCCCAACCTTACCAATAGGGATAGTGCGTCCGTGTATTTTGTCAGCATACCCGGCATAATATCGACATGTGTTAGCAGCACCCCTCATATCACCACGTGCAGACGTATAAGGTTTGCCATTGTCCAACGTCTCCAGATTCTGAAAATATTCAATAATATATAAGAGATACAGTACAGGCGACAGGAGTGTCTATTTAAAGCGGTAGGGTCGTCACCTGCGCACGCGCGAGAATTGAATCCCACTGAAGCGACGATAACAACACACGTTAAAATTGCAAAGGCTCATGGGTAGACGCTTGTTTGTAAACAATGATACGCTATGGCCATCTGACGCATGCGTAGGTGATGACTCCCCCTCTTTAATAATAAGTGACCGTTATTTGTGAGTGTCCCATGATCTTCCGATGTTAGAACAATTAATCTATTTTACCGCCAAATAGTCAATGTCTCTCTCTATTAAATCCGCTAACTTATAAAGTAATCGTCCTCTGGCTGACGCGTCCATAATGCGCCATGGTGACCCAAGCTTGAATGCTTCCTTGGCTGCCTTAACGGCGATGTCCACGTCGGCCTGTAATTATTAACAATTAACATAATGATGAACCAATAAGATAGTAGAGTATTCTGCACGTGACGCTGGAACAAGGATAGAATTCAGTAACAGTATGTAGCGAGACATTGGCAAATATGAAATGTGGTTCAAAGACCAACATTCCAATAATGACTTTTTAGGTGCCCCTTTTCAAAGATGTAATTGAATATTTTAATTGTAAGTCATGAAAGTGCGTTCACCTTATCACCCTCCTGTATATCACATATCTTCTCCCCTGTGCATGGGTTGATAGTTGGGAATGTCTTTCCACTGACAGAATTCACAAATTCGTTATTGATGAAAATCTGGATAAATAAAGAAGAAGAAAATGCAAGCAAAAATATAAACAACGAAACAATGGAAAAACAAAACAATTATGTTTAAAAAATATGTTTTAGGGAAGCTTGATGAAGACTAAACACGACTCGAAATACAGGCACAAATCTAAAAAGCAATATTAAAATGCGGTGACATATATTTCAGGAAATAAATTTATATACTATCGATAAAAAAATGAGAACTATGATGACAGATGATATTGCCGTCTCCTGATAAAATTATTTGTCATATATTTTGCTAATACTATATTCATTGCAATATTATTATTTTCTGTGTACAACATTTGTAATTGATTTGACAACGTTGTTTTCAAGTCATATATAACATACACTGCCAAGTTTAGCTAGGTTGCTAACACTTCACTGTGTGAACCAAGAATACTCATGTTTCTCACGTAGCATAATTTGTTCGTCAATTCGATTGTATTTTTCTGTGCTCGCTTCTTTGGGAGGGGTTTTGTTTCACAGCAACATTATACAACATAGAATACAGTTCCATGTTTCACGATATTTGTAACAAACAATAACAGAGAACGGCCTGATCTTTATCCAATAGTATTATTTAATAAAATTTTATTTGCAAAATTTCAAATTAAGAAACCATAAATAACAAGCCACGCATGCACAGTCCCCGCTAATTCAAATTTAAGATATATAGTTTTGTTTATAGCAATATAGTTGGAACAAAACATGTCAGATTATGGATCCAGAAGCCGATGCTTGAAAATGATTGACATTTGTATCTGACCGTCAAACGAGTACTTGTCCATATTGAGAAATATTGCTCTGGAATAGCATTAAATAAAACAAAATGACTACCGGTCGGCCATTTTGAATACATCAACATATATGTAACATGATGTATAACGAATATAAAAAATGTGTACATAATCACTCAAAGCATGTCAGAGATATGGCCCTAGAAGCGCATTCATTAGCCGCCAGTCATTTTGAATCGGATCTGAAAAATAAAATGATGTGCATAAGGAACCTTTAATGTCTAGTGTAGATACCAAGTTTGAACAAAATCCATCCATAAACGCCAAGATCCAGTTCTGTAATGCTTGATTTTTGACGATTTTTTAGCATAAAAATTATTCTCATTTGGCCATTTTGAATCAGATCCTCAAACCAGTATATCTATTTCATGATGTATAATGAATATATAACATTTGAACATAATCAGTCAAAGCATGGCAGAGATATGGCACTGGAACTTCATTCATTAAAACAAAATGGCCGCCAGTCGGCCATTTTAAATCTGATCTGAAAGTTAAAATGAAGTCCATAAATCCATAAATGCTTCATTTTGATGATTTTTAGGACAAAAATGTCCACCATTCGGCCATCTTGAATCAGATTGATGCAAATTTTAACAAATTTAATGATGTCTTTTTAATGATGTTAATTTTGAGTAACATACTTTTGATTTTCAACTTAATCTTCCTACCCGATTTTATACATATACATTCAAACTTTATAACTCATAGCCAACTATAATCACATCTGACAAGTGAGGGTTGTGTCATCTTCAAGTTCAGATGACTTGTTAAGTTTAGAATAGAGTCTAATTTGACGTTTGCACCAAAAAGCATATTTCAAACACTAAAAGTCGCGTGGAAACGTAGGCAGCAAAGGACCGAATGCTGGTAACGCCCATTCGGACAACGCCATGTTGCCAGGGTAGTTCTCTCTAAATATTTAACTCTTGTCAGTGACCTTTCAAAGTTCAGCGGCTGACCTACATAATGTAAACTGCAAAATAATATAATGCATTTAACAGAAAGACGATATATTTACCTGGGTGTATTTCACCTTAGCTGGTTGCACTTTGTCTTCGGCCATGTTGGTTCCTATACTGGTGATATGTTCCCTGGCGTCCTACCTGACAAACACTGTGCAAATGCATGTCAGGGATGATAAATCAACTGCGCATGCCCAATGTGCAACAATGCGACTTATGTTAATAAGGGGTGGCCCTTTTGAAGTACAACCATACATTTGATTGCGAGCCAAGGAAAATATACTAACACCAAATTAACGTTCCATATGCTTAACTCAAAATCTGTTACACGCCGAAATAAAGTACTAGTTTGGCAAGTTTGGTATGTCGGTTGGTTTGAGTGATTGTAGTTGGAGGTGCCAAACTTGGGTCACGCAGGTCAAGGACGTATGATTGTCTGTCATACATCACACTATTTGGCATATAAATATACCCTGTGTTGACTGTACCGTCAGTTATAGTGTATTTTTGTATAAAACCTGAATGAAATATAAGGTAAAAAAGTTATATTTTTCATGCGCAAGTATGAGAGTAGCGTTTTATTGTCTTGTGTCTCTATAGAATTGTAATTTCAACAATGAAATGAACTATTATGAAATATCTAATGTAATTGTGATAATAATGATTTGCAGCGAAATATAAAAAATGTAGCAAGGTGCCTGATTTAAATGTTATTTGCTTAGTACTACATGCCAGTAACGTTAGAACAATGCACTGTGAACTGTCATTCAAATTAATGTATTGTGATCCACGGAATGTGCATCATAAAGATAACTCTATTGGCTAATTCCGGCCTACTGCAGTTAACGAGTGGTGAAACTCGCCAGTGAATGACATTCCCGATTTTGGTTCTGAACTGGATGCGCTTTCTAATTTATGTTGCTGCCTACGAATGTGTTCCGCGGTGCAGGGGAATTCACCCGGACAGCCTTCCTTCTACAAGTTACGAATATTGGACAGACAATCACCTTGAGTCATATTTAGTTAAGCTAAAAAACTTTGAACTGCGTAGTATGCTTACCAAATTTCGTCTTAAAGACCATTGTCTCAAAATTGAAATGAGTCATCATAAAAAAATTCCCTTAAACAACAGGGTGTGTGACATGTGTAACAAAGGTCTAATTGAGGATGAAATGCATTTTCTGAAATAATTAGATAATAAAAGTAATTGATTGGTACCATGTTCGACTGAGTGTGCAGCGCGTGTTCTACTTCTGACTGCGTTCTATAATTACTGTTGTCGCCACCGTTAGCAGAGACTCACTGGAAAATACACCTTCATCACGCAAAGAAACTGTAGGTAGGTAGGGCCGTGTCTGATCGCCACTATATTATTTGCGCCCGTTGTCGTCTGTTATGTATGTTTGTCTCGTAGTTTATACAATGCATGCAAGCTTCTATGTTTTGGCATTTCCTTGTAATAATATAACGTAATCTACTACCACCCTTATAACGGGTCCGGATAAAGACGTAAATTCATTTCACAAGTGAGGGGTAACATTTCAACACACGACGACTCTTTTACGTGTCCACGATAATACAATATGGCAATGCAACTGACCGAGAAAGCATAGACTGACACATAATGAACTGGACAAAAAGTACAGGGGGGTAGACCGGTGTTTTTCGAAAGTCGCGTATATAAAAATATATGACCCTTCCCAAACATTTGCATGAAATTTGCTGACCTCCCCCTTGAATGGTACATGGCAAATTGTGACCCTCCCTCCTTCTAATTGTAAGGATAGTACATGTATTAAAACTATATACACATACAGCTTAGAACTTTTATACTTCAATCAGTTAGCCCAGCTCTTATTGAGAAGAAAACAAATGTATGATATACTTTATGTTCTACATTAGGGTGATTATATAGACAATACTGGATCCTTTATGAGTGTTGTGTGTTGAACCATGCGCATTCTTTAAAATACAAAATACACGTGTTCAATACGACCATTCTATATTTTTATTACGTACTCTAGCTAGATATACACTTTTTTATAATTACAATAAGATTCAGCCAAATTTTACTGGTCTAACGAATTCTAGTAATAATTGCAAAAGTATCGAGAAGCCTTTTATCCAAAGCTTGTTGGAAGACTTGCCCACCACAAAGTATAAATATGTTAATGAGAACGTGCAGTGGTTTACTGATTCAAGTCAATCACCGTCCCGTGTTGAGAGATGGTGATCCAATATATCTGACTGGCAGCCATTTTGTTTTTTGAAAATGTGGTATCTTATGCACGCTCTGTCAGTTTTTATTCAAATTTGGTACATACGTTATACATCTTAGGATACATGTCTATGTCGATTCATTTCAGGATTGGATAAAAGATGGCCGACTGGCAGCCGCTTTGTTTTTTGAAAATGTGGTAAATTATGTATGTTATGTCAGTTTTTGTTAAAAATATGGTACATGCATTTTACGTTTTAGATTACATGTCCAAGAAAATTTGTTTTAAAATCGGATTAAAGATTGGTGGCCATCTTGCGTTTTGACCCTACAACTATATCACTAAGGCGTTTAAATCATTTTCATTCATGTTTGGCACATACATCATAAATATATGAATACATGTTCATATCAGTTTGTTCCATAATCAGACCAGAAATTGCCATGAATAGCTTATTCTGTTTAATTTCTGACCATATATTCGATTTTGAAAGAGTAAATTAATACATATAATTTCTGATGATTCACTCTGAATTACTAACTATACTTTTGCTCCGCAACTTTATTTTTGAATAACATTTCTCATAATTCCAAAGGAGACTATGTCATTCACAATGACTTGTTAAATATGTACGCTTTTGGGTCAGCACAGCCATCATGCCAACACAAGTTTCCCTAGTTTGGGGTAAATACATCCCTGTGAAAAAAATTCTACAATCATACTATGAAACCTACACTAAAAAGAAAAAAATATAACAAAGAAAGTCGGATATACTGTGAAGGGAAGGGTGGGTAGGGGAAAATGTCTGCCTTGTAGCCAAACGTTGCAATAATGAGAAAGGAGAACCATATGTAACATGTTGCACCGTTATAGTAGAAATGTGCTAGCTACGCCACTGCTATTATTAACTAGTACTGGCGGCCTTAATTTCTCCTACATTGGATAAACATGGCTTGAGATAATTACATTTTAAAGATCACATTTGAATAATCAAGGTATTAAGAAATGTGGTGTAAAAGTTACATTTGCATATTAATTACAATCTACTGAAATACATGTAAACAAACAGTGGCTATTAGTATTGTAAAACACATAATATAACACTACGACAAATATGCGTGCTTTAATCCAGCAGTACTCGTACATAAATATTATTTTCCCCAGTGGTGAATAGCTGGTCGCCAATAAACTTTCTGTTCCAGTAACTTGTTTTTTTTCTCTGGCGAAACTTTCATTCACACTGTCTGATGATTCATTATTAGAATCATCAGACAGTGGGTCCTCGTCACAGCTCTGAATATAAGTTAAGTTTTTTAACATTTCATTCAATGTAAATACAACTGCTGAATGAGTAATAAGAATAGGTGTTTGTTGAGGCAACACAGTCAACCAGACTGGGCATACAATTTCGGCTACTTTTACTGTAGTGTCATGGGGCTTGCATTGCACAACCAATTGTGACCCTTCCCTTTATGTCTACACAGATCACTGTAACCCTCCCCTCAACACTGCACGGAAATCAGTGACCCAAAACCAACTATCGAGGTCACTCTCGCACATCAACTCACGTACTAAGATAAATATCGTTCGACAATCACAACAATCACCACCATATGTTGGCTTGTAGTTTCAAGTTTCATGCCCGCAATTTCTGCTCTGTCATTTTTTATCCCTGAGCGAAGTGCATCAGTTCCAGACTGGGATGAAACATAATTGTTATCATATCCATAGATACTGTCTGGCAATGTTCATCTAGATCAAACATTGGCAGCTTTGTAGGAATGGCAGATAATTTGATTTCATTCTCAAATATCTCATAACTAATATCTTCCTCTTTCACAATTCTTCATCTGTTTCAAAACACTTGTTTTTACATGCCCGCTTTCCATGGAGAGAACATGGTAGAGTTTTTTCTGCTCTCCAGATTTGGTTACTCAACTACTACTATTGGGTAGGTGTGAATTATACAATTACCCAACTGCCAAGCATGCTCTACAATAACTGTCTCATAACACTATGAAAGTGGATGGTGACGATGATGCTCTTTAATTAGCAGCCACTCAGATATGATTATTTCATGCTCAACTGCTGATATGTAACTCAACTGTACCTCGCATTGGTTTAAAGTCTGTATTAAAAGAAACAAATCTTATTATATGTAGTAGTATGACATAATTGTGTTTGCAAGTATTATGTCTGTATTTGAAGGCACTGGATCACCATATATGTTCATTTGATTTCATTGTATGTTCACGGATGTAATATCTGGATCATTATTCATTGAATGCTATATTGAACAGATGTTTGTCGTGCATATATGACCCTGCATAACATACATTATCATGTGACCTCATTTAGTATGGAGTACTATGCCAGATTGAACAAGATATGACCAACATATTAAGTAGACTTATGTGATCATGTGACCTCATTACCTGTGCACAATTTTAATATTCATTTTTGAAAGTTAATTAATTTAGATGACATGCAATTATTGTACTTTCTCATCACAGATTGAACATGCCTGTAAGTTGTGGTGAGTTTAATAACAAGAATGTGATCAACAGTCTCTATATATCTTTTTATTTTCCACTGGATATTTCACGCCGTGTGCTCACTCAGGTTCATGGTAGCTGGCTAGTTTATTTCTACAACTGCTTGTGATATAGTCAACATTGTACATGCGTTGTACCCATAACTTCATCACGTGATCAATACCTTTATCTATCTAATTTGTCTATTAATTATTAACTTGAACATTTAAAGTTATTGTTACAAACAAAAAAACTTACACAGGCAAATACATAACATAATCTTTTTGGCATGTCACTTTTCAAAGTAGTATTAGAAACTAAACGATTTCTGAAGTTTAACATATATAATAAACCCATTTTAAGTGAATATTCGTATATATAATATTATATATAAATTTATTTATATATAATTAGTTTGAGGAGAATACAGTGCATATAATTTATCATCAGCGACGACCTGTCTGAGTTATGACAAGACCAGTTTATTGTATTTACACTGATATTGTATGTCTAATCAAAGAAAGCTTAGAAAGAACTCCCATGTGCTGAGAGTATTGGAGACACATTAAATATAATTTGAAATTACTTAGCTGAAAACTAATTATGCAAATCAGAAAATTAACATGAACAGATTTGATTGTAAAACTAATGAGGTCTGCGCAATGTAACAAAAACTCTATGTACCAAGTTTAATTGAAATGTGATTAGAACCAAAAAATTATGAATTATTATGCTAATTAGGGAAATAATATGAACAGAGTTTTACCCCAAACTAATTAGGTTTGTACATTGTCCTAGAGCATCTTTGTACTAAGTTTCATTAAAATGGAAATTAGTACTTTAGATATCAGTGTGAAAGTTTAAAATTGATTAATTATGCAAATTGGGTAATTAATATCTACAGATTTTAACCCACAATTATCCAGGTCTGTCTATTGTCCTACAGCATCCATGTATAAACATTTATCGATATGTGATGATTAGTACCTGAGATATCAGTGTGAAAGTTGGAAATTGGTTAATTATGCAAATTAGGTGATTAATATGCACAAATATTTACCCTGAAACTAATCAGGTCTCTGCATAGTCCTAAAGGATCTATGTACCAAGTTTCATTGAAATGCGATGATTAGTACTTGAGATACCCGTGGAAAAGCTGAAAATTAACTAATTATGCAAATTAGGTGATTAATATGCACAAATATTTATCCGAAACAATCAATCTCTGCATAGTCCTTGAGTATGTAAGTACCAAATTTCATTGAAATGTAATGCTCACTACTTATATCAAAAGCTGAAAATTAATTAATTATGCAAATTAGGTAATTATATGTACTGATATTACCATAAAAACTGTCAGGTCTGTGCAGTCATATGACATCTATGTACATGTACCAAGTTTCATTGAAATGTGATGATTAGTACTTGAGATATCAGTGGAAAAACCGAAAATTGACTAATCATTATGCAAATTAGGTAATTAGTATCCACGGATTATTACCAAAAACTAATCAAAACCTAGCATTAGTTCAGAGCATCTATGTACCAAGTTTCATCAAAATCCAATGAGTGGTTGTTTAGATATCAGTGGAACAGTCATGGAACCACTAAAAATTGCTAATTATCATGCAAATTAGGTAATTAATATGCACAAATTTTTACCAAAAACTAATCAAATCTGCGCATATGTTCAGAGCATCTATGTGCCAAGTTTCATCAAAATCCAATGAGTGGTTCTTTAGATATCAGTGGAACAGTCATAGAACAGCTAAAAATTATCTAATTATCATGCAAATTAGGTAATTAACGAGCATGGATTTTTACCAAAACCTAATCAAATCTGCGCATTGGCCCAGAGCATCTATGCACCAAGTTTCATCAAAAACCGATGAATGGTTCTTGAGATAGCAGTGGAACAGTCGGACACACATATACACATACACACATACACACATCCCCACACACACACATACAGACACACTAACTGCAAAGACTCCCATTTTGTGCTTCGCACATGGGAGTCAAAAACGTGACACAATGTCACTTGACTCCTACTTGTGAGACTGGTTTATTGACTAGTCAGACTTTGACCCGTTGTTAAACATAAATTACTATTTAAACAACTAACATAGGGAATGCACAAAAGGTCGCTGTGGTCTCTATATTAAGACCTTATAAGTGTGTATTGTACACATTTCAGTCTGCTCTAAAGTTCAAAGCTAAAGCTTGTAAGTTGTATAACAAGATTGTGGAAACCTATCAAGATGGCACAGGTAAGTCACTTGACTTTTGGATAAGCAAATCGGCGTAAATTGTATGAGTCGAGCATTGAAGCGAGCCAATCAAGTAGGAAATTTTTTTTGGGGGGGTGTAGTAACTGCTCAAAATATTTGCAACAATACGCGCTATCGAGTAATCAAATTTCAATATATAAATATACGGTCAAATGTTACAAAAATTGCTCTGTTGAAATATAAGTTGAGCTGGCAGCCCGTGATTATGCAGCCAGTGTTATTGTTGCAGACAATGTTTTTTTAAAGTCTGTTATGCACTAACTAGTTTTGTTGCTATCTGGGCAATAAATAGGGTGTTTTTCATTATTAGCTTATGATTTGATTCTAGGCTTGTTGCCCCGGCCTTTGCTCCCCCGTATTTTGCCCTCCGTTTTGTTATTAACAAGATTTATAAAATATTTATTAATAAGATTTATAAAATTAATAAATAAATAAATAAATATTTTGAAATATTTTTTAATAACTTAGTAACTCTGAGCCTGAGTGTCGATCATAAAATTCCGTGCTTTACTCTGAGTGTGACCTGAGCAATTTTATAATATTTATATTTTACTCTCGATATAAACTTATTAGTTGCAAATTCTGTGATTCAACCATACACGCATTAACACATTGTAATGCATTCAGACTTGTCCAGGTTCAATGATATGTCATAATAGTTTTTTTTTTTGCATGAACCTTTATATTATATTTATTTGTACTTCAGTTTGAATATGTCGATTTTTTTAATTTTTCTTGCCGTTAATCAGTTCTGTGTATGTTTATTACATACTTACTGCTACAAAAAGGGGGGGGGGGCAGAACCCGAAAACGACAGAAGGTTATGGTCACACTATGTGTTTATGTAAATTCAGTATTTACTATCGTAGCATATTATGTCATCCATGGGTGTTAGAAGGTGCCGATTTTTCTACTGTGAATAGATCGCCATAACTTGCGCTCATAAATCAGATATATGAACAATTTATAAATGAGAGTTGCTGTGTCCATGGCAACACACTGCAATGGTGAGTGTGTTGTAATTAACACAGACAAAAAAACAACATCGAAGCATATTATTTGTTGTTGATCAGTTATTGTTTAAGATCGTGATTGGGCGTTCAAACATACGCATACTCACAATCATTATTCAACAAAACTAGTGCACACGTGTTCTGTTTCAGAGTGATGGTCAAAAGAAGTCTGGTATTGGTCGCTGCAAGATCGCCCTATTATGTGCCTTACTGGTAACTTTTGTCATTTTAATCGTAGTGTTGATATTTTTCATCGTTGGTGAGTTTGTAGTAACTCGTTACCATCGTTAC